GGGTGGGGTGGGGTGGGGTGGGGTGGGGTGGGGTGAGGTAAAAATACAGGTTTAGTCAATTCTTTAACGGGTGTGGTTTCGGAGGATCGCAGTAGCGTGTACTGTGCTTCTTGGGGTTTTACGTGGGGTGGTGGTGGCGGTGGTGGTGTTAGGAGAAGGTAGGCTCTGCAGCGGTGGTTTACGAAGACAGGAATAAGGGGGAACTGTACACCCGTTGCGTGTTTGTGTGGGGAGGAGGAGAGGGGGGAGGAAGAGGAGGTAGGTTAGTTAGCTTCGTCGGGTTTGGGTACTTGGGGGGGTTCTTGGGAGGTGGCTAGGAAGCGCATGTGCAGGTGCGTGTGTGGTGGTGGTGGAGGCATGTGTATCTGTCTTCCATCATTCCTTGTCGCTTACCTGTCGGTGGTTTATGTACGGCACAGCCGCGGCGCAGTACCATGAGCACTTGCGTGCAGCGGCGGTGGAGAGCACCGCGGAGGCGGCGGCAGCCCGGGAGCGACTGGCGGCGGCGACAGCGGATGTACGGCATTTAGAAGTGCTGTTGGCGGAGGCGCGCTCCGAAACTTCTAGGTACGCGCCGGCGGGATTCAGCTGGTAGTGGGCCCCCAGGAACTGGGCAGCCTCCGACCCCCCGTCGTCATTGCGACAACAACATCAACACCGCCATTACTACATCAGTATTATCATTACCACATCAGCAACATGAACATCATCATTACAAGATGAACATCAACCGCCGTCTCTCCCTTTGTTTCAACCTGCAGGCTGGCTGGGGCGATGATGGCGTCGCAACAGTACGGCAGGGACAGCGGTGCTGCTGCCGCTAGCATGTGCGGGGCAGCTGATGCGGCAGCAGCGGCAGCGGCGAGTGAAGCGGCGAGTGCAGCGGCCGCGGCGGCTGACGCAGCCACCGCCACGGCCGACACTGCAGCTTCGGCCGTACGGTCAACACAACGGCAACTGTCGGAAGTACGAGCACGCGCCGACGCGCTGCGTCGAGCGCTACAGCTACCGCCGCGACCACCGTCGCCGCTGCAGCATCAGCATCAGCCGCCGCCGCCGCCGCAGGTGCCGTACCGCCGA